CTCGGAGAGCCTTGAGTTGACTCACGTTGGCTTTCAGCTCGGCTTCCAGAGTGGCATTGCGCGATTGAAGCTGGCTGAGATCGTCATTGAGAGAGCGCATCTTACGGCGTAGCTCGCCAAGCCTTTCGTCGGATTCCTCTTCGTGTGGACGTTTGAGAGTCTGCACTGGTGCAGGAGCAGCTGGATTTGCTTCCAGCTTGGTAAGGTCGACTTGCAAGGTTTGAACCTCAGATCGATATTGGTCAATGAGACTTTCAAGTTCCTGGCATCGCTTGGCGGCTTCCTCGTTGATTTGATCGGGGGAGAATTCTTGCTGCTCCTCCTCAAGAGCCTTCATCTGCGCACGCAAATATTCAACCTCTTTCACAGCAAGGTTCTTTTGTCTCTGCAAGCGTGCCATTACCTTGCTGTCAGCTGGACCAGAAGCATTACCAGCAGCACCAGCACTTTTCAACTTTTCGAGTTCGATGCTGAGTCTGGCTTTCTCATCCTCGAGCATCTTGATGCTGTCCTCCTTGACTGCAAGCTCTGGCTGAAGGGTCCCCAATTTCTCAAGCAGGTTTATCCTCTCGAAACGCTCCGTTACAAAAGCCTTGGCCAACTCCTCCGGCGAGTTATATCTCATCTCTTCGTTCTCGGCGGTTTGACTTTCCAGGTAGCTCGTCCAAGCATGCTTCTCATCTTCTAGAATCTGCTTCTGCAATTGTGCCTCTGTCAATTCTTTGCGCAAATCATCCATGATGCGGACCTTGGTCTGTAAGGCGCGCTTCTCCTCCTCGACAATTTCAACACTCTTGTGGGTCTTGCGCAATTGCTTGAGTTCGACAAGTTGTTTTTGGTTTGCAGACTCCAGATTCTTGATATGAGCGACCTGATCGGACAGCTCTCGCTTGATAACAGAGAGAGTGTCAGCATCTCCAGTCTGGGCTTTGAGTCGCAAGACCTCATTTTCCAGGTCCCCAACTTCAGCATCCCGTAACGATAGCTTCTGCTGAGTGTTCTGCAGAGTAGTGACTTTTGACTGCAGATCTCTCTGGGCTTCTTCGAATGAAGCATGCAATGCATCGTAACGAGCTTCAATGTCGGAAAGACCGTGCTTGTGTTGTCGCTCGGCCGAGGAAAGTTGTGTCTGAACATCTTCGAGCTCTTCCCTCAAGTTCTGGCCGTCCTCCTGTAGATTGCGAATCTTGCGCTCAGAAGCTGTCTTTTCGTTTGCCGCGCGGTCCTCTGCTTCCTGTAATTCACGAGAGAGGGATGCAACTTTCTTTGTCGCTGCATTGGCATTGCTTTCGGCGGTTTGGGCCCGCTTGTATTCTGCATCTGCTCTGTTCTCTGCCTCTCGGATTTCGCTCTGGTGTTCGAGTGTGGCAAGCTCCCTCTCCTGCTTGAGTGAATCCAGCTCATATTGCAGTGTGTTCAGCTGTGCTCGTAGAGATTCATTTGCGACATCTGGCCGGGCAGTCGCTGTCGATTGTCTAAAGGTGTCGCGAAGTGTTTGTCGTGGCGGTGAATCGCCCGCAAGGAAATCGAAGGTAGGTTGAAACTTGGACATTTCTGCCCATGTCCCGCTTGGTGGTCACCACTGTGTTGTTGTTGCGCCCGTCTTTGAAAGAATGTCTTGTCAACAAAACTCCGGAGATGCGAGCACATCGCGAAACCACCTGACGTCAAGTGCCAAGACCTGCAAGACTGCCATTCCACTTCCGCTTTCGGTGAATATGACTGCCACATCTGCTACACCTTGTCTGTCGAAGGGACAAGGCATCCTAAGGCTTCAAACATTGTCGTGTGGTATGAAGCAGTCGCATTAAAAGACCCATAGACTTCCAATGATGCCACTTTCCTCATTTAGATCGATGGGCGGTACTAGTACCATAGATCCCATACCACTAAACAGTGCCCCGATTTTAGAAGGTTACTCGAACTTTTGGGTTTTATCTATAGCTTCAGCAATCTGGGAATGGTCGTGATTCCTCATTCAGCACAATTATGGCCTTCCTCGCGGGCAAGAGTTGCAGCTGGACCAAGTAACACGAGGGTTCGTTTATTGGCAAGAGCGACCCATGTTGGGAAGAGCTGCGTCCCATGTTTCCTTGTCTCTTTCTCCGTCTTCCCTCACCATCGACCACTGTCACTACTGCTCTGTGGCCCATCATTGCCATCATGGATCCAGCTCTTCCCCCTTCGCCAGAAAAGTGCAGGCTCAAAAACGGCCGGCTTGTTTGCTACCCCCATCGTCTTTCATGGTGCTCCACATGCAGGCAGGATTCCACATCTGTGAAAGGCATCTCACCACGACTTTGGTGGACGCAACGAGTATCTGTTCTTCCGCGATGCCTATGATGACAAGGATCCTGAGGGTTGGAAGGAAGACTTCACCCACAATCTGCTCTGGGGATATGCCTCAAGGTTCATGCCGCAGTGGAATGATCAAGTCCTCCGTCCCGAGGATCCGCAAGGTTTCGGAGCTCAGAACCACTCGAATCCTTTAAGACCTGATTCACTTTCTCCCTCCAATTTACATACATGCCGCACTTGCCAACTTACCTGGATCGTTGGACCATCGGGATTTGACGCTGCGTCAAGCCATCCATCACACCACGCTTACCACGATGAGATGGGAACTCAACGATCCCTCATCGTGTATACAGATGGTTCTTGTCTCAATAACGGAGCCAACGGTGCAACTTGCGGTATCGGAGTATTCTTCCAAGAGAACTCCAAGTTCAATGTCTCGGTGCCGCTTTTCATGGAATCAGGTGCTCGAGCGATAAATCAGAAAGCCGAACTTCACGCTATCATCTGTGCCATGCAGATTGTACGTCTTCACGTTGTCCCAGAGCGCCACAATCACATCGAACAAGTAGGTGTTGGCCGTGGTGAAGGAGCTAAACGAAACATCGCGGGCCTTCGTCTAGTCATTGCAACAGATTCGAGTTACGCTGTGGAGTGCATGGTGAAACATCTGCCGGAGTGGAGATGGGACTCTCGCATGATGCTCTACGTGAAGAAGGACGGCAAGACAGCCGAGAACTCTCAAGTGTTCAATCGGATCGTGAACGAAGTGGATGCTCTTGCAGGAGTTGGGGTTCAAGTCGTTTGGTATCACGTGCTCCGTCAAGAAATCTCTCAGGCAGATCGTCTTGCCCGCGCGGGTTCTCTAGCAGCGCGTAGGAGCCTTTGGCTCTCATGAACGCGACCTGGCGACCATAGGAGGGATCAACATCCGCTTTTGTGTGGATGTTGGGTTGAATAGGAAGCGCATACTTAGACTTCCACGCAAGTACAGAGTCGTACTGGCCTGATCTTTTCGACCTGGGTTCATCCGGCGTGGTGCTCGATCCGCCTTTCTCACCCCAGACTCTTTCTATGGTTGAAGCATTTTAAGCGAAAACGTCATGGCAAGGAAACTTCTGTATTTTATCATAAAACATCTTTACCAGTCGTTGGCTGAAAGCCTCTCAGTGACAGTAAATCCCCAATATCTCATCAATACGTACAAATCTTGGCCTGCGCCAACCCCCGAAGACCAAGCCCATGCTGCTATCGTCAGCTATCCCCCACGAACAAGACGATAGTTATTGCCTGTTAAACTTCATCCAATAGGAGTATATCCAGTCATCGGTATCAGATCCATCTATGGTTAATCCGCGTCCTGAAGAGCCTTTTTCATCCCAGCATAAGCAAGTTCAACGGCGTCGATATTCTTAATCTTGAATATCTTGTAAAACACCACCCTCACACCCAATAAAGACAAAGCCTCCATTTCTTCCACGATCTGCCGGATCTCCAAGAAATCAGGGACTACTGCAATTCCGTGATTGTTCTGGTCTTCGTAGACTCTTCGTGAACCCCGCTAATCCCATCTCTGCATATCAGAGCATATACAGTCGACAACGTAGGCTGAATCAGTGGCCATCGGCCTTTCGACTTGTCGCGACTTCACTATCAGACAATGGCAAAGGTTCTGATATGTTGAATGGAGATGTAGGATGGAAACGAACTCCAACACCAGCAACCGCTAGGGGTGTGCCATTGCTTACCGAGTCGCCATTGGCCATGCATTCACCATGGGCTCATACGAGAAGGGGCTTTCTAGACTCCACAGGATGACGGGCCGTGGTCGGGACAGAGAGATGAGAAGGACAATTATCTTGACCTTCGACGTCTGCCTCTCCGACAATCCAGCTGCACTTGAGAGAAGGCGCGTATCTCAGGGTTTTCCGAATGGTACGGTGAGAGCTCTCTATCAGTCTGCGGCAGGAGCCTTGCAGCCTCCCCTGTATAAAGACCCGCGGATTTCCGTCCTCGCCTGGGTGTGAGATGGCCATTTGCTGCAGGGGACAGGAAGGGCAAAAGCAATGCATAGGATTATCCACTCTGTATTCCTCCCCTTGATGGATGCCGTCGATTGATTTTTCCATAGTAACATCCAGCCAATATCGAGTCCACAATGACGGCAATCTATGAGACCGTGGACAGAGCAGGCGAGCGTTAATCTGCTCTCTGCCAGATGCGGAATCAGGGATCTCGGACAGGAAGAGCCATTCCATATGAAAGTAGCCAAGGGTGACAGGGTCAATCATGTCCGCAGTAGACCACGTTGAGGGAGGAAAGAGTCCGAGAAGGCGATGATGGGAAGGCGGATGACATATATGCATGTACGAAATAATAGGATCAAACACCCTTTCTGCTTTTACGTGGAGTTTAGCATAATGAATGAGCCACATCGTCAAAGCTAGCATTCTTACCAGCCTGACATCCCTTCTTCTTCTAACTCGCAAGTGATAGCATAGAAGAGTCTAATCCACGTCCTACAACCATCAGTATCCGTCTGAACTAGTACGATTCCCCTAACCATCAGTATCCGTCTGAACTAGTACGATTCCCCTAACCATCACCAATCTCAGTAATCGCCACCAATCTCAGCAACCACCTCAGTAAAAGCAATCTACATCGTCATCCAGCCCCCCCTCTCTCAACATACAACCAAAAAAAAAGACCATTTGGTGCAATGGCAGCACGCCAAACCCTCACGGCCCACGTTGTCTTCTTGGAAAGTGATTTCCTTGGGGTACAACGTGGACCGAGATTTGGAGACGTGGGTTCGATTCCTGCAGTGGTTATTTTTGCGTATTTTTTGAGGTGGACATTTTGATATGATCGATTTCCAGGAAGGGGGCAGGTGGGGGTTGTGTTTACATGTCTGTGTCTGTTTGGAGGAAACTCCTTTGTGTGCTTTCTGTGAGGATAGATGTCTGTGTAGGATTGATCTTGACATGTAACTAGAACAAGGCAGAGGATTTTCACAATGTTAAGCTGGCTGCTGAGATCATGATGGTCAGTTGAGCGAGAGTTGATCATCTGTTTTCAGGACTGGTACAGGGAACCTTCATGTGGCAGAAATCAAAGAAGAAGAAAACAATCACTTTCAATGCTGTGAATGGATTGATTGTATTCATCTTTTCCCAAATGTCGACGACTTAGGAACGAACGCCTCAGACCCATCATGGCTATCCGCAGATGCTGGGGGTCCGTCTCGCATGTTACCCGTTTCGAAACGCCTCTTGAACGCCTTGCCATGCTCGTACTCATTTTCCTCCCGATTCTTTATTTTCTCTCTGCATCAGATGGCCCATCTGTAGGAAGCATAACGTCCAGCCGTCTCTGACTTTCTGATAATCTTGACGACCTGTCCTCTCCTCAATCCCAAGTACTTTGCAACCGGATCTTCGACTCTGATACGGGGAAGCTGCGTCTCCTTCAGACGATATCTTTCGAGCAGTGCCCTCTTCTCCTCCGGACTAAGAAGGATGTGCTTGGGAACCAACTCGTGCTTTGTGATGTTGACCAGCAGATCCTGCTCGGCAAAGACCTCGATGCCGATGGGTAGGTTCGCGGCTTGCTTCAGAGCTGAGGTGGTGACTGTAGCGCCAGTAATGTATACGCCGGAGTAATAGTTCCGGTCGTGAAGAAACTGGGCAAAGGCGCGCAGATGCTTGATTCCAATTTGCGGCTCGCTGCTGAAGTCGAAGTAGATTGTTCCGATGGTGGCCTCTTGAGGTTCAGGACGCGACTTGGTGGGGAGAGGGGTATATTTGGCTATCATGAGTTCGGAAGGACGAGCGGAGAAGGACATCTTTGCTTTGCTGTTTGAAGAATGCGTAAGTTTGTTGTCACTGTGACAGGCTTGCTGGTCGTGAGTCATGGGGTCAATCGTACTTGGCTGCACCACTGCCATCGCAGAACTGATCGCGGAATGAGTCGAGGGAAATGTCGAGTTCGTCTTCTGCCAGATCATAGCCCTGAGTATGCGTTGTCAGTATTTGCGCGCAAACAATTCAAGGTCGCGCTCGGGCAGCTCCAGATGCGACTGACTCTGTCAAAGGCCATTTGCTTGGCAGTCTTGTAGACACGCCATAAGCGAGACGTTTCGCGCCTGTTCTCGTCGTCGGACATTTTGACAAGTGTGGTGTAATGGTGCGCCTGGAATCAGAATCAGAATTGCTGGTCGCGAAGTCGAACATGATCAACCAGCCCAGAGCCGCATCGAACTTTCGGCGCCAAGCCTGCCCGATCAAGCTGACCGCCCCGGAGCTTGGCAGATGCATGTGACGTTCTGCCGCTTTCCCATTCCGTCATTCCCCTCTTCTCCATCATCTGTCAAAATGTCACAACAAGCTCCTCAGATTCCCAATCTCAACAGTCTCAGAGGCCAACGTGGAGGTTTGCGAGGATTGGCTGCTCGTAGAGGTCCTCCGCGAGATCCTGACCATGTAGTATTACCACAAGAAGACCCCAACCTTAAACGGGACAAAATAATCCAGCAGACCGACAATGATGCCCTGACTTCACGAATGGCTGCTGTCGCTCTAAATTATCTCGACGATCCATACTCGCGACCCTTCATCACTTCACCCATCGTTCGAAGATACCCAATCATCAATCGAGGCACTTATTGCCGCATCAAAGCCATCGATCGTCTTGTCGACAGCTTCCTGGACACGGACCCCACTATCACTAAACAAATCATCTCTCTCGGTGCTGGCTCTGATACTCGCTTCTTTCGTCGCGCACGGAAGAATCTCATCTACCATGAGTTCGACTTTGCCGCCAACACGGCCGTAAAGGTTGCTACTATCCAACGCACCGACCTCCTCAAAGACATTATTCACAAGACTCTTGAAGACGATGATGATCCTGTCGCATCTGTGAGCATCAACGAGGAAAAGACTGCTCTTCATAGTGCAAATTTCAACATCCATCCGCTAGACCTCCGCGACCTGACCCAAGACTCGTTAAAACTCCCCAACCTCCACCCTTCGAAGCCGACCCTGATACTTAGTGAATGCTGCCTCTGCTATATTCCTCCAGAGGTCACGGACCAAATTCTCGAAAACCTCAAAGCTTTTCTCCGAGGCCCTATCGGCATAATCTTCTATGAGCCTATCCGTCCCTTTGACGCCTTTGGCAAGACCATGAGCCAGAATCTATCTTCCCGAGGAATCGAACTCCGCACCGTCAAGAAGTACTACAGTCTCGGTGCTCAAAGAGAACGCTTGAAAAATGCTGGTTTTGTCACTGGTCAGGGTGCCAGGGGCATCGACGAGATATACTATGGTACAGGAGAGGAAGCTTGGTTGCCTGAGCATGAGAGGAATCGCGTCGAGAGGTTGGAGTGGTTGGATGAGGTTGAAGAATGGAAATTGCTAGGCAAGCATTATTGTGTTGCTTGGGCCTGGAGAGATTGTCTTGACGACAGGAGGGATCCCATGGATACCGACGTCTTCTCAAGGTCGTGGACACATGTCAAGGGTGGATACACGGATGCTGAACGGGATGACGATGTTGCTCTTACGGGATGAGACAGGTGACCTTGCCTCACGTATCCCGTTGTAGTTCATTTGGCAAGCCGGTTCTACCATTCGAACATTTAAGAAATCAGCTCAAATACCCAATTGATCCTCAGTCACAAGGCTCTGTGATAACTCATACGTGATAACTCAAGTCCCAAACATATTCTCATATTTCACTGACGTGACTGATTCCATTCCCTCAGCAAAAGCACCATAAATCTCTCTCATATCCTTGAACCCATCTTTCGTCCAGCACATCCTAATCAAGCCCCCGGTTGTACCGCATCTGTAACTAACATCTCATCAGCCGCCAGCCCACTGCATCTCCACCGACGACGAGTCCTGGTCCAATCATCAAGACTGACATGAAAACACTCCCACGCCGAGACGGAATAGGCAACACGACCCAAAGAGGAAACATCTGCCTGATTATCCCATCTCAAGAAGTTTCCCGTCTTCTTCCTCGCTCGGGATAAGGAAATCTGCGGATTCCGATTTTGGGGGTTTTATCTGTGAGTCTTTCTTGTGGGAATCCTGCTTCGCCTGTCAGTGGTGATGGTGTTGGCTTTGCTTTGCTTGTGGTATCGGGTTTTGTTGTAGCTGTGATGATGGAATGTAGATTTGTCAAGATAAGTCAGTGTGCGGTTCGGTGGGCGTTTTGGAGGATAAGTGCTCAATATCAGACTCGGAACAAGTAATATCAGCACGAGAATCGTTTTATTGAGAGCTATGAAACCACGGAAACACCAGAATTGAGCACACGACATGGCAGAACACGTGGTGGAAAATGAGTTTCGAACGCGCTCATGAACTGAAACATCAGATCCTCTCTGCCGGCCTGAGCCATGATACCCAGTCCGTACGGTCTTCCGTCCGCTTTGAGAACTCCGAGTGGCATCGTTGCGATTGGGTAGCCTGTGAGCTTGTCAGACCACCTTGGCTTGGTATCGTTCTTGAGGAGAGCAAGTATCATACCGGAGGCGGCTGCCATGAACGCCATCAGGCTGTCCATAGGAAAAGCGAGGAGATTGAGATTCTGCTCCCGGAAGAGCTTGTCTATACCGTTGGTTTTGGAGACTGTTTTCATCTGCTTCTTGACGGCTTCGTATGTCTCTCGTGATGGAGGATGACGGGAAGTTTTCAGCAATTGGTTTTGATCTGCGTGGTCTTGGCGTGATTTGTTACTATGTTGAAGTAAGAGTGGGCGCGGTACGCACCCTCGGGCAGTTCCTCCTGCTGATGGTCTAGGTTGTGTTTGATTATGTCTTCGATCGTGTTCAAGCCTGGAATCTTGACCTCATGTAGCCAATCTTCAAATGCTTGTTTGCCTTCGTATGCTTTTGATGGTTAGTAAGAGCTAAGCTGGATTTTAGATCACCACTCACACATTACGATGTCGATGGGATTCTGCCCCTCGTACCACAAGTCAGTGGCCGGTGGTATGTCGACTGGATAGACTACAAGTCCTTTGGTGACATGGCTTTTGACACGCTCAAAAGCCGCAATGATCGATGCCCGGGAAACAGTTGCTTGTAGACGGTTTATGCGGGGCACAGATCCCATAAAAAGTACCTGGGTGTATCCAAAGTTAATTTTGTAAATTTGCTTACTGTCGCTTGGCTTTTGCTTTGCGATGCTAGCAATTAAACATGTGTAGGCTTGCTAAGGGTTTCATGGCATATTATTGCCTGTCACTAAACATCTTTTTTAGTAAGATAGCTTGTCAAGCGTGTCTTTTTTTTTAGTTTGTTATATTTTATCTCAGGATAATTTACTCAGTTATATATCTATTAAGTTAGATTTATTGTATTTATTTTAAGTATCGTTCTCCCTCCTTGTCAGCTTCAATCATCACAGGAAGATTTCCGGACAACTCACCATTTGTTCCAATATGAGGTCGTCGAGCTGTACAATGTTCGAGTGAAGAGACCATTTCGAAGGATCGAGGAAGCCAATCCGGAGTGCGTCGAAAGTCTTGGTCAAGTACTTTTGATAGCCTTCCTGGGGTAGGAGATTCCGCTTCTCATCCGTGAGAGCGATCTGGCTCAAGAGAGCTAGATCTGCAGTCGACCTGGCAAGGCCCCCCCACGACATCTAGCTCTGTAGAAGTCCTGAAAAACTCCGTCCATGTTTACAGCATTCAGAGCAGGCTTCAAGGCATACAAGCCAGCTCTTGCACCTGGCATGACGATGGAGCCGATGGATTCTGTGCCTAAAGCCAATGGAGCATAGCCTGCCGATACACCCACTGCAGAACCTGTTGAGGAACC